GGTGTTTTTTTTTCTGTGAACAATTTTTGTACCAGTAATTTTGCTCCAGTTTATGGTAGCAATTTTTCTAAAAGGAAATCTAACTGAGGAGGTACTTTAAAAAAGTCATTTTCATGAGTTTTTTTTATCAAATATGAAAAACTGAAAAAAAAAATCAGAGGTAAAATGGAAAAATAGGTACAGTATTGAACAAATATTTTTAAAGAAAATATATATTGCCTATTTAATTATTTTATCATAATATTTGATATATATATATATTGTTGACAAAGCAACTACACTGTCAACTTAACTCCGCTCAGAATCGTTTTTTCGTTAACAATGGTTAATTGTTGCTAACAGATATATACATTAAATTACCCATAACAGTGGCTGCACCCATCTCCATTATCCTAGAACGTATTTTTTAAATTTTATTTATTAAGGTGAGAGGGCGGTGTGCGTTTTTTGAAAATCTGAAAGGTGCGTCGAGTAAAAAAAAAAGATTGAGAAACGCCGATTTACACGTTCAATTTTGTGCCGACCACAGTTTTTTTTTTTTTGAGGCAGGTCCGGAAGTCACGCGAACCACTTGGGCTCCGTTCAAATATCCGTTTACGCCACGTTAAAATGTTTGCGCAAATCGGATTTTCGCGAGCCGGTCCGCGCGAGTAAAACCTGTAAGCCCGGCTTTAAACTGTTATTCTTTTGTTCGAAAAATAACGCACAGACGCGAATTAATCGTCGTCGTACAGCCGATCGCTTTGAGGTTTTTACAATTTACGTACGCGTAATGTGTGCGTGCGTTTAATTACAATATTGTCGTTGTTGTCCGCGACGCGCGATAAAACCGAATCGCCGGGCGGCGCCTCGGCACGTTGGCTATTATTAATTTACGGCACCATTAGGCATTGTAACGGCAAACGAATGACAATATATTATACGGACGCGACGGCGCGTGCGTACACTCCGGGGCGGCAGACGCGTAACGAGACTTACGGGCGGTGAATAATTTAGAAAATAAATAATAGGTGCGTCGTCGTAGCGTCGTACCGCGCGTGCCTTGTCCGCGGTCGGTGGCCGGAGGGGTGGGTGTGAGGGGGGGGGGGTGAGGGATTCACGGCGCGGTCTTCGTTACGTCTTCGAAGTTGCGCGCGGATGGCCTTAATGGAACCGATTATGAATTAGTAATGAAAAGTCGGACACCGTTTTCGACGCCGAGATTCGCGAACACTATACGCGCATTAGGCGAACGAATACACACGATATTATATTGCGATAAGGAGGCGCGAGTCGTAGTCGTCGTCGTATTACGCGTATACGCGCGGCGCACAAGTACCGACCAGCCCGTTATTATAATTATCGTGATAATTCGAACGCGACCGGGATTAGTATCGCGGAAACGAGTCCGATGTATTCCTTTCGGATTTTCACCGTGCGTTCTGTACGCCCGGACCAAGTATACTGGGGGGGGGGAAGAATATCGATTATTGTTATTATTATTATTATTATCAGGTTGCGGATTTAAATGGTCTGAAAAAACGAGAAAAATGCCTTTAAAAAATACAATTAAATACGCTTGTATATAATAAAAGAACAGGTCACGTTGAAAATTATTTTAATAACGTTTTTTTTTTTGTATTTTGGGTGTATAAATTGACTAAACGCAAAAGTGCAAATATGGTGCAAATACCTACGACTATATTACTACTTCGATAAATAGCTTATTGTTTTCTTTATTGCAGTCGACAAATTATAGTATTACAATAATTCTTTTAAGAGAAAATCGAAATAAATTAAATCGAATTTTCTGATAGGACTGTGTAATTTATCAAAATATGTAAAAATGTCTTGAAAACCTAGAAATGCACTTATCGTGTCAAAAATGGGTTAAAAATATAAAATTCAAAATAATAATTTCATATTTAAATATTGGTTGATATACGAAACGAATTTTGTGCTGGGAAATCATCGGTTTAGTACATTCAGAAAAAAATGCAATTTTTCATTATAATCCGCAGCCTTATTACTATATTGCGCGCATAAATTTGTTTACCGAAACGATTTCCGGAAGATATATTCTCGGGGGGAAAAAAACCTAAATATACTATTTTCAACAATTAATAATTTCGAATTCGGTTTACCGGATCCGTTGGGGGGGTTTAATGTCTTTGAATACTTTTTCGATATATAATTACTCTCCAGAGTATATCGTACGGTTAAATGGTTAATGGTATATTATTTTGGATTGCCGAATGTTTTTCGGTAAAATCAGAACGAAAACAATAAAAAGGACAGAATTCGCATTGACCACTGTGATAGGCGAGAAGTCATGAAGGTTGGATATAGAGAGAAATTCGATTAATATCTATATGCAAAGATAAACCGTTTATAACGAAAAACAATACAGAGCAATATTTCTTTTATACATTGTGTACATAATTTTTTCAGTTCTCCTACGTTTGTTTTAACAATTATTACAAAAACCGCATGTAAAATCAAAAATTGACCTCTAGAAAGTACCACCCAGATAAAAATTTCCTTTCGGAAAAGGTACTACACTCGAAAAATAGGAGCGAGATTTGTGTTAAAAAAGTTGTTCTCAGATAAAAAAAACAAAAAGAAGAATAAAATCTAAACAATAACAACCAATACATCCCCCGCTACACTTCGAATCTAAAATTGTATACATATGACAGTTTTTAATTCCAGAAAAATGTAAGGCTCGATGCATTAGTTATCAGCACCGGTCCTCATTATTCTAGAACGTCTTTTTGTTATCATATTATTATTTTTTTTTCGAAGTGCGTTATTAAACCTTTTTTAACGTTTTGTTCAGTTTTTTGTGGATTTTAAGTACATAAATTCCCGAGCTCTAGTTATGAGTGCACCGCAACTATAGATCAGTTAACGCTCAGATAAGTTAGGTCAAATACTATAATATCACAGTGAATTCACATTACATTGATATTTTCACATCTATGGAATATTTCAACGGAAAATGACGACCGTTAATGACCATTTTCACAAAATATGAAATGTTAACGGTTTTTTTTTTCTCTAAAGTACTTCCCCAGTGAAATTCCCTTATAGAAAAATTGATATTGTTAGAAGAAGTTTTAGCAAAATTGCTGGTAGAAAAGTTGTCCACAGGAAAAATGCTATAATATTTCTATTTATCACATATATTTCTTTTTTTACCACAAAGTACACCTTGTAATGAACCTGTTGTTGAATTTATATTTTTATATCCAAAAATTCTGAATGAATAATTTGTAGTTGCTTATAATAAGTTTCGTCTAAAGAGAATTGTGTAGCATTATACGATAGGTTTGCAATGTGTTTATAATTTTAGCACTCCTAAATTTGGTTGTCTCGTTACCACCTAAAAATAATAGAATTTATCTCATATTGTTCGATAAATACTAAACTCTTATCATATTTTAACTTTATAAATCTGTCAATTGCAACTCCAATTTTTTAGTTTTCCGTTAAAAATCTAATTTTTAAAATTAAATAATATACTATTAAGTATGCATTTATGTTTATCTATTGGAAAAAATAAACCTAAAGTACGGTTTTCCTGCAGCGTCCAAACGCGACAGAACGCCACGTTTACCTTATTTTTTCTGTAGCGTCAGACTTCGTATTTGATCTTTTTTTACCTTATCTTTTAGTCTAATTTTCCAAATAATACTTGTTAATCATTGTGACTGTTGTCTCTTCCGCACGTTATTTCTAAACCTAAGTTCTGCTTTTTAAATTTGTCAGAAGGAATAAAAATTAATTAGTTATGACCATAATTTAAAAAAAATAGACTCTGCATCTAACGGATAAACGTACCGTGTCTAACGCGAGTAAGGACATCATTTATACACAAAATACATAATCAAAGGTCATAGCGTTTGACGTCTCAGGGAAATTGTACTTCTATTTCGGGAGTCAGAAATTAGTTTCGAGGGGGGGGGGTGCCTAATTAATGGAACCGGATAAATTTAAAATAAATTCTCGATATCTTTTGGAGCTAAGTAAAAAAAATCAAATAAAGACCAACCATCTATTAACTCTTTTATTTGGTGTTCCATCCTATTTAACACCTCCAGAAAAAAAAAATTAATAATTAATTATTAATTAAATTAAATAAAATAAATTAATAAATAAATTAAAATTAATAATAATAATAATTTTCATCGTAATCACCAAATACACCATAAATATGTATATAACGTTTGGACGCTCAGATATTCCGGAACTTCACATAGACCAACAATGAAAAAACAAACCAGCGTTAAAGTAAAAAAGCGTTGGCCGATATTTTCTCTCTACGGGCAAGATTCTTCTACTACTCATTTCTGCTTTAGTTATAGATTATATATTGTATTTTTTTTGCGAAAAAAAAAATTACCGAGAAAACCTCTTTCTGTATGCTAATGTTTCAGGGAGAGCTGTAAGTAATGATGAGAGAGCTAAAGAAGTACATATCATAGTAAAACCATAAGATCTTTTGCTCCGCTTAAACCTAAAACTTTACAATTTATTGTTGATTTCAAACTTAACTAGTATTTAAATTTTACCGTACTACGTAACCAAAAATTGTCATTTCTTATGATAATTAAATACATCTACTTTATTTTTAATTAATTGCTAGTCACCAAAAATCTGATCAAGGATATCTAAATTTTTTTTCTATCCTATCCTATTTTTCAATTTATAAATACGTTTTTTAAAAAATTAATGACATATACTCTACAAGATTTGCAAAATACAAAAATATTCAGAAGTGCGTGGGCATGAAATATACATCAACATACCGCAGCTATTTTGTTTTTTTTTTTTACATATAAAAATGGAAAATCTGAATACCTTTTGCTCGTATGTCTTGAAGTGATATAATGTCACATTTAAAGACATCTAAGGCGATTTCTGAAAATTACTATAAGACTATAATAATTGCAATGGTGTTTAATATTTAAACTAAAATTATTTTTACTATTTATCTATTTTAATAATTAAGATCTCCTCTAAATATTACATCTTTTGTGTGTACCAATTATCGAATATTCAGTTGTATACATTCCAGGTACTGTAAATATTAGGGCTGAACTTGGATAATTCGGAATGGCTATTGGTACTTCAACAGTGTTTTCGTATTCTGATAATTTATTAATTGGTGTTTTATAAGACTCTGACATAACTGTTCTAAGACCACTATAAAATAAAATACATTTATTTAAGATTTATTACCAAAAAAAAAAAAAAAAAAAAAATTATATTTGTATTACTTGTGTGGAACATGTTTTAATGTATTAGGTATTAAACGAATAGTATTTAAACGATTGAATATTGGTTCGGTATAAAATGATTCATATTCTGGTAAAATTTTTTTTCGTTTTTGAAATTTAGAATTTAATTGTTTATTTGTGATCTAACATAATATTTTAAATGTGAACATGTATCATATATAGTATTTTTTAAATTGTATCATAAATTATTACTTACCGGGTTTATTTTGATGTAAGCCAATTTTTGAGTAGATACATATGGATCTCTTTTTCTAATCACACCCTTTTCACTAATTGTTGGTACTGACATTAAAGGGATATCTTTACGAACATCTAAACATTGTTTTGGTCGGATCTATTTTTAAGAAAAATATTTTATACATAGATATTTTATTTTTTTTTTGTGGTACTTACACATGAGATTGGTATTTCATTACCATCTAAAGTAAATTTGGATTTGGTAAAATTACTGTTGAATTCATTTTGTGTAATTGTGTTTATTGGTCTTAGAAAAGTTGACCAATACTATAGAAAAATGTCATTATTATAGTTATAGTAAAATATTTTATGATCACGAAAAATACTTTTTCCCAATGAGGCATTAAATATCGAATTCGATCATTGCGGTCTGATATTGGTGACTTTTGCATTGTATCCATAGTATTTAATTTAAAATCATGATTAATATTTGTTGTTGTTTCATAATTCCACTGTTTCAAATTTGGATTGTTTGGTATCGATTTCTTTTGAGTATCTAAAGCTGTTACCTATACTTAAAATAATTTATTCTTTCATTATTTTACTTATATATATATCTACTACAACTAGTCATAAATAGTTTTAGGTAATTTATAAAATAAATAATTTAGTAGTCATTAGCCATTTATACACCTATAAAATATTATACTAAATTAGTTATGATGTAAATAAACTTACATTGCTATCTAAGGTGTCACTTGGTTGATATTTATGAGCTACTCTGTAAGATGTTGAACAAGTGTCATTCTGATACATCGTGTAGAAGTATTAAAATATTTTTTATATAGTAGTATATCAAAATTTGTTATAAATTATGAAAACATAAAATCATTTGTAAACGTTTGATGTTATATGGTTTCCTAGGATACAATAATTCGTATTAATAATAACATCAATCAAATAATCTACCTGCATAATATTGTAGTGTTGGACTGTTATTAAAAATTCAATTTTATTACTCAATATTTTAAAAATCTGGATATGTTTGTATTATGAGTAGGCCACTATTGGAGGTGGGAAGTTAGAAATATTAAACGTATAGGTTAATATAATTTATGTGCTATTTGATAAATCATTACAAACAAAAAACTAGTTTGAGGGAAATTTTGTTAAGCAATTTTGAACATTTTTTTAATTTGTAACTACAAAACGAATTATACCTAATTGTTCTTATTTTTGTTGTAATTTATTATACATTTGAAATTAACACGCTAATAAAAAAATATAAACAAATTAGTTTTTTTCTTAAAACCGAAAAAAGGTTTCAATATTTCAAATAGTTATTATTTATAAATACCTAGCTCGAAAAACGTGTGCAAACAGTGTATTTTCATTGAAATATTTGAAAAACCATTATATAATTCTCGAGTGATTGGTAGTGGTTCATTGTGGATATAATTCTTTCTTTTTTTATCCATTTAAAAGCAGACATTTTTAAAATCTTAAAAATAGATGATATTCAATTTCATGTGTCTCCCCATTTCTACCCTGCCCTTATCACAGTTTAACCCCTTACTGCGTTGACCTAAGCAAATTAAATTCCCGTCTGAAATTTTAGTCACTTTGTAATACATTTAAATAACATTAAACATATACTAACAGTTTTTTTGGTACGCCACATAGTGTTATAAAAAATGTTATTTTTATGAGTCATTTAATTACCTTATATTGATCATTTAATTTTCATCCGATTTTGAAACAATTACATGAAAAAATAACGACAATAAATCGATTTAATTTTCCAATGCACAGTTATTTTGTCAAAACTTTTTGATATATATAATATAATATATCTAATATTGAATCAACTATAAATTATTACACTGCATATTATGAAAGTTTTCTATTTGCAAGTAAATCATTTATGTAGACGTAGTACCTGTCGTGCTTTTTCGAAAAGGTCATTAGACATAGATTTCACTATTTGATATTTTGTAGCTTATGTAGAATGAACAATGTTAATACTATGAATATGCCAATTTTGTGTTGTAGCATCGATAAGAACGTTTCGTTTTATTCATTAAATTACGATTTACAATATATATCATTATAAAACCGTTTTAGTATAATGCCTTAACTTCTGTGAAGATACACGACATCACTAAATAACAGTTTTGAGAAAAATAAGCAAACATTTTTTTTAGATGAAAGATAATTTTCATTTACCTAGATAAAGTAAAAAATACAATAGGTAATATTGTTAAGATATTTAAAAAAAATTTAAAAATGGTAATTCAGATTCAATAAATATTATTAAATTTAAATATTCAAAAAAGTATAGTTATATTAACTAATTTGTATACCTAGAACAACATTTAAACAAAATATTATAACAAAATTGTGAATATCATGTTTATAGTCAATTGTCTACGTATTTATCATGATCATATCTATACATTGTGGTATTTACTAAAAATAACTAAGATAATTATAATAATGTAGATAAAAAATTATAAGTATTTAATTATTTAGATTATATTTTAGATCTTAATACTGGTAGTGACGTTGGGTTTATTTTAGTACAACAAATAAAGATACGGTTTTCGCGTATTTGAGTGTGAGTGTGTGTGTGTGTTTATATACCAGTACGACTAAGTATGTAAATAAGTAAACTGTAAATAATCTTACATAATAATTATTTATAGTTAAGTAAATAATATCCAAATAAGTTAAAACATATATACTAAGTGATTCTATGCATGAATTTACAACTCAGTCATCCCATTAAACAAATAATATTATTACGCAATACGTCGCATAAATACTGTATTTATTATATTACTTAACAACAGCAATAAAATATAATGTAATGTATTATATATTTATCATCGTTATTATATTTTTTTAGATCTTATTTTAAAATAACGTACATTATTGTAATACTAAGTTAGTTATAAATTATTTGTCATTCTATTAACATGATTAAAAATCAATTATTTAACTGTTCAGGGCGTTTCTTCCATTACAAACCAGCGATTTCGAGCAAATTTATTTTTGTGTTTTGGTTCAAACATCGTATTGAATTGTTTAGTTTACACTATATATAGGAATTTTCGAAATTTGACTCTTTTTCAGTATGCAATTATAAACACATAATATTGATTTTTTTTTTCAAATAGCAATCCATATTTTTAAACTCGAGTTTGAATAGTTAGAGAATATTTCGGTAATAAAAAATACAAAACATTATAATATTGGTCATTATTATATGAAGCACAGAGGAATTTGGAGAGTGTAGGCAATTGAAAAAGTGGAACTCGCCTATTTTTCTATTTTTAAAGCTTTTTAAGCAAATTTTAAGCTTCCCTGTAATACTAATACGCCTGCAATAATCTGCAGTCATCCCCCTCAAGATCACGCGCAGTTGAGTTATTTGGTAATCTATTTGTGTGCCAATGCATGGAGCATCTATTAAAATAAAAGTAGTAAAAAAACATCCAGTTTACGAATTGTATTTAAAAACACACTCTCTTCAAACTGCATAGAAATTCGTTTAAAAAAAATATATATAGTTTTTATTTTATTGCATGATAACTTCAACGATATTACTTTTAAGAACTTTTTTTTTTAAACGGTTGAATTTAATATATTCACCCAATAAATGAATATAGTTCAGCAATAGCAAAAGAGTGGCAATATTTATAAAACCTATTTTTTTATTATTTTTTTTTTTGGGGGGGGAGGGGGATAATCATTAAAACCGTATAATAAATCGATTAAAAGTTAAGAACAAATAATATTAAATGCATATTAATTATATTTGCTTAATGTTTGAAAAAAAAAACTCACTAGGTATAGGTGCCTATATTTTATTAAATTATTACTGTTTTAATTTAAATATAATAATATTATTAGCTACATAATTTGGCGTTTCTAATTATATATTTTTAACAATTTTTAAGCGCTATAATATTTTGATATTTTATAAATATTCAGTGTTTACAAAATAAGAAAATGAAAAATTAATACTTACCTGAAATCTGAACATATTTTCTAGTCAGTTTCTTTGTGTATAACATCAGGGTATACAATATTATGTATCCTTTCGCGGCCCATGGTCTATTAAAACTAAGTTATTGCAGCATAATATAACCGAATAGTGTTGTCGTCGGAACACAGGTCTATCGCGAAAATAATCAAATTTCAAGCAAAGGGACCGCTGAATAAATCTGAAATGATCGGGAAAGGAGCGGAGGCGGTATGAAAGTAAATATACTAATTACTTACAAGGCCTACCTAACCCTACTAAGACAAGCTTTTTGAGGGTATCCATAGTGATATTCATGCTCCAAAGTACTCTGTACAGACAAAAGACCCTTTGAGAAAACACGTCAAATAATATTATAAAATTAAACTAATGGCTTTATAGTGAGGACCAAATAATATCATTAATAGCTATAGGATAGTGCATTACATTTAGCGGCGTGAATACGCGGCTCGAAATAATCGCTTTTGTTAGGTACCTAATCAAATCATATTATTTGTGGTATCCTGCATTTTGCATTCCTCGAATATATGTACATGGAAAATGTATAATTGTTATTAATTTTATTTGATAAGTTTTGAATTTTGATCATATTAATATCGCGTTAAACGAAAGTGCTGATAAAGAAGAAATACGACCAAAGGGAGTATGGTAAATGTACCATTATAATATATTTGCATTAATTATTTTTTAATAATCATAAAAAATAAAAATTTTACATTAGGTAGTAAGACATAGCTAGGTAAAAATGATTTAAATATCATATGATTTTTTATCATTTGAACATAATTTTATATCTGTCATAAATTTAAAAAATTGTTTTCTTTAAATACCTATAGACAGATCAAATCAAAAATCAAACAGTTGAACTGTGGAAAAATTATTAGTAAGTAATAAAATGAAACCATGTATTTTCGATGAGATCTATTTTTGTGGAATACATTTTCAAGAATTAAATCACTAGTAATTAATACAATTCATAAATTATTTTACTATTCTGATGATCAAGATTAAATGAAAATATTTGAAATATACATAGACCTGTAGGTTCTTCAAAAAAATTCGTCAAGGTTTCATATTTTGTATAAAAGAATCGATAATACGAGGGTTGTCCCAAAAGTAATGCACAACTTGTACGTACGTACATAGTCATCTTTCACTGTTGAATTATTTGGAGATTACTATTGATACGAAAATATAATTTTTGTTATGTGAATTTACGATATAGTATATGACGTTAACTTATCCATAAATTATCTAATGTGCTAGTATTCATAGAGTCACTAAAAAATGTTGTACATTGGGGTCAAAAAAAAAAAAATGTTTGATTAAATCCTTGAGTTTTAATGTAATAAAGACGGTAAGCTCAGAAATGAAATTAATTTTTATTCTTTACAAATTTAGTTTAAAAATCAATAATTTGAAAAGTATTCAAAACGATCGGTATTGATGGAAATCAAATGTGTCTTATTACCCGGTTTCTGGTATTGTGGGTTACCATTTTAACTAAAATTACGCCTTATCTTGTATCACAGATTGATAAGGTTAGTAACACACCCTTATCACTATGGTGACCTAATTATACTCTCATTTGGTCAGTCACTTCTGAATTTACGTGAAAAAACTGATATTTTTAACTGGGTATATTTTTAAAAAATCATGCATGTCCTAAATTAATGAAAAAAAAGTTTTTTTTTCAATCAGATAAAATTATAGAATTAAGGAAAAATGTTGATAACCCCCATTGTTTTTGTTTTAATTTTTCCGGAAA